TATATATATATACATATACATATACATATACATATACATATACATACATACAGATTCAACTTACATTTTCAGTTAAAGAAACATATATTTCATTAACTGAAATAATGTTAATATCCCAAAATACTAAACATTTTTAACCTTTATAGTATACTGACAACCATTATAAAAGCATAAGAGAAAACCACCCAAAGTTCAGCAAAAGTAGCTTTTCCACAAGCTGTCATAAACACACATCTTCATGATAACACACATGACTCTAAAATAGTGCAATAAACTTTAATTTAACAATATGTAACATAAAACCCTAAAACTATGAAGAAACAACAATTATTGAAATGATGAAAATGCATCAAATGAAAAGCGAAAAATATGGAATTCTGGGAATGACTTTTTTGACTTTTTCACTATAAATTTTACTTGTTCCTTTTCACTTCCAAAAACTGTACATTTAACAGTGTTTTACTATAAAATTACATGCAATGTCCCATAAGATCTATTATAGTTTTTTCATAAGGGAACTTGCCAGGTTTTTACCGTACCATTTTTAGTCTTTTATTGTCATTTTAAAATCACGGGGGAAAAAATTACAGCATAAAAATATTCAAAGTTATTTTTTTTCTTCAAAAAAAAATTATTCTATTCTAGTCCTTTACTTGAACATTTCATAATCAATTCAATGTGTTACTTACCAATGCTTTGCAATTCTTTTTTCAGTTTATATATATATATATATATATCAAGACATCTCTTGTTAATGTTTACTAGTGACATTGTGTGATATGCATTTTGGGTCACACTTTATTTTAAGGTCCAATTCTCGTTATTAACAAACCATTAACTATGACTTTTTGACTCAATAAACTGCTAATTTGCTTCTTATTAATAATTAGTAGGGTTGTTGTTAAGTTTAGGTATTGGGTAGGATTATAATAAATACTAATAAACTTATACATTTATAAATACTAATAAACAGCCAATATGTTGATAATATGCATGCTAATAAGCAACTAGTTTAGTGAGAATTGGTCCCTATACTAAAATGTTACCGCATTTGGTTTATTTTTTAACCCCAGGATAAATAAAAAAATGAATAGAATAATAATATGTGACCCTGGACCACAAAACCAGTCATAAGGGTCAATTTTTCTCAATTATAGGATCGGACAATATTTGGCCGAGATGCAACTATTTGAAAATCTGGAATCTGAGGGTGCAAAAAAAATCTAAACACTGAGAAAATCATCTTTAAAGTTGTCCAAATGAAGTTCTTAGCCATGCATATTACTTATCAAAAATTAAGTTTTGATATATTTACAGTATTAAATTTACAAAATATCTTCATGGAACATGATCTTTACTTAATATCCTAATGATTTTTGGCATGAAAGAAAAATCGATAATTTTGGCCCATACAATGTATTGTTGGTTATTGCTACAAATATACCCCAGCGACTTAACACTGCTTTTGTGCTGCAGGGTCACATTTAATGAATAACACTTATTGTGCTCACTTGGTGAATAATGTCAGGCTGACATCACTGATCAATGTCAAACTGAGATTATCTAACACAATGCCTTCTTACTAGTTAATGGAAATCCTAATGCCTTTCTTAAGGATTGCTTAACCACGTACTGAATCTCTGGCTTATGGTCACAATAGAAGGCGTAAAACTGGAAAAGAAGGGCAGGGGATTTAAAAAGATCCCATTCTGATCAAACAATCAAGTTCACATTACAGAATCTGTACATTTCATTTACTTCACTTAACATATAATACGATATAAGAATTTTTTTTTTGTACCTGTCTGTGTAGCATTTAATCCAAAGTATAGTACAATCCAGTCAAGCATCCATATGACTATTCTGGTGCGTCTCCCCATGCTTGTCCTGTAGATTTGTGGATCCTTCACAGGTGTTTGAGGATGGAAAGCGCTTGTGTTTTCTATTTTATACCACCCTCCTTTGTGTGAAGGCCTAGGAGGGGCTGAGCGAGGATATGCGTCAAAAAGTCTCTAACCCTCTGAATGTATGAATATGACATTTTAAAGAAAACATTCCAAGTTCTGCTTAAGTGCATATTTTAATATGAAATCACAGTGTTTCAAACTATATCAAAGTAATTACACTGTAAAAAAAAAAAAATTATTGTAGTACATTTACTTCAAAATTTCACGTTTAATTCAACGTGTTACAGTACATACCCTTTCTATTTAATTTGTGAAATTGACTAGAAATTTCCGAGTGAAAATTGTTTCTTTCTGCACAATTCTTTTTTTTTTTTCAGTGTAGGATATGATAGTAGAATAGTATTTTATTATTCTCGTGAGGGAAATTACCAAATGTCAAATGTGTTGTTAAAGTACATTGTGATTTTTCTGATTATGGAAGTTAAAAATAGAAGATTCCACTTGAAAGAATTCACACAAACTCTTAATTAATTAGGCTCTTTCAAAACGATTACCTCATGTTGAATCACAGGACATTCCTACATGAAAAATCTCTGGGGCGGTACCTTCTCAAAAAGAACACTTTTGTAGCTTTTCGGTACTAATATGTATCTTTAAGGTACCAATATGGACTGTTTAGGTACAAATGTGTGCCTTTTGAAAAGGTACTGCCCCAGTGACAGCTTCTGTACCTTTTTTCTGAGAGTGTGTTTACCAGTCAAAAAGACTGATTGCCAATAATGGTCCTTGACTTTACACTTTTGCTTGTATTGTCTAATCTCTTTCTCATCGAAAGCAATTTACATCAATAAAAATCGGTACAAGAAATAACCCTGAATAGGAATTAAATACTTTTGGTGGTAATTTCACAAACATCTTTCTCACACAAAGAGGAAGTGTCTATATAAATGTAGAATTAGATTGGGTTGCTCTTTTATTGTTCACAAAAATGCTATTAAATGCATCACATTTACAATCGAATTTTACAGGAAATAACTTCAATTTACAATAATACCGTAGTGCTACTATCTTGTCATTTTGTAGTGTTTAAATGTAAAAAAAAAACACCAAATAATTATAAGTCTCTATGGAAAGCTAAAAACAACAAATAAAACAATCCAGCCACTCAGAATATACACTTGATGTCACCTGCATGCTATATTATGATCCACAAAACACAAGAAATGGATGTATGGATGGATGAACTCTAATATAAAAATGACATTGATCTTATAATTAGAGATCTGCTTTTAAAATAAAATCAGTTGCTAATGAAGTTACTGAAGTACTGGAAGGGTTCAGCATCGTTTTTTGTTTTGTTTTTCAACTTACTACTTTATTATATTTGTCTTAGACCACAGTTTGCTGGTTGTTTCATTTGTAGTCCCTGCTGTGCAAGTACATGCACTATATATATATACAATTGCATCATTAATGAAAGAAGAAAACATTTATACCAATAAACATTCACAAACTAAATGGGCAAATATGGTGTTAAAGTGTCAGACTGGTGTGCTATTTTGTTCTCTTTTTGCAAATGACAGATATCATAGACAGCTCTGCATGTGAATAAGGTGTCGTGAAAAAATACAGCAATATCACATTCATCATTTTGAAGAGCTAAAGGATTTATCTGGACTACAAAATATTATAGGGGTCGTGTCATGCTTTTTTTTTTTATTCTGACATTTCATTTATAATACTTGCAATATTTTTTTTTGTTGTTGTTCAAAGATGATCTAAATGTATTAATATGTGAGCATTTTTCACCAGTCTTGACCAAAATGCTCCCTTATGGGGACGCTTACCCTTTGAGACTTCAACCATAGCTATCATTCAAAATATATAATCATTTCAAGTTGTTTTTTTGTGTAGTAACAATAAATGCTCTTTTTGGAGGATATTTTGTGTTCTTCAACTTAGTGTTTTTATAATACAGTGATCTCTTATAGATGAAAACATCAAGGAAAATTGATTCCTCGTGGCATGAACCCTTTAAAATTTTCTGTGATGTGAAACAACGGGCGACCACACTTCCAGGTTTTTCACACGAGCAGCTTTTAGAAGCAATGCATCTTTATTGCTTAAATACACATTTGACCACATAAATGTTCATATTTGTTTTCAGCTTTGAAAAGGTTTCGTTCGAATATCCTTTCACGGACAATGATGGTATTTTGGTGTTATAGGACCAAATACCACATACAATATGAAATATATTGTCACCACATGGTTCAAAAGATTAAATCAGTTGTTCGTAAACTTAAATATTTGCATGATGCCTTAGTAAAACGCAAATCTACCAACAGCAGCTGTGGGACAATTGGGTCCTATTTCAGCTTTTCTGCATGTTTTATGAAGGTAAATGTAACCCTTTTAAGACCAAGCTAAATTTTATTTTGTATAAAGATACATTTATTTGAGAAGCAAAATTACATAGGATATGAAGAAATTGAGAAATTGATCAGAATGAAGTAAGTTTATGATTAAAACGAGAACAAATATCAGCCAACGGGCTCGGGAAAATCAACTTAATTTAAAGCAAAAAGAAGTTTTCATGCCTCATTGACATATTTGTTGTTTTAAGCATAAACACTTCATTTTGTTCAATTTCTCAAAAAACAAGACTTGAAATGTTCAATTTGCATCTCAAGTAGATGTATCGTGATTTAAAGGGTTAGTTCGCCCAAAAATGAAAATTAGGCTGTGTTTTACCCCCGAGGCATCCTAGGTGTATATGACTTTCTTCTTTCAGACGAATCCAGTCGGAGTTATATAAAAAATTGTCTTTGATCTTTCAAGCTGTTTCATGACACTCAGCGGGTGTTGCATGCATCAGTCCAAAAGAAGTTAAATAAAAATCGCCCATCCATAAAAAAAGTGTCTCACACGGCTCCGGGGAGTGAACAAAGGCCTTTTGTAGCGAATCGATGCGAAAAATATCCATATTCAAAACATAATAATCGCTTTAATCTAGCTTGCGTCAGCAGTTGTACACAGAAGCAGCTCCGGGCGGATGATGTATGAGTTCAGTGCTGCGCATGCGCCGGTGAGTCTCGTGAAAACGTTTGTTAACAGGAGCAAAAGAAGGAAAGTTTCCTTACTTTAGCAAAGGAAAACCAGTCTCCTCTTGGCTTATATCCAAATCCTCTGACATTCTTCTTTACAAATCCTTGTTTTGTACTTCTAATAAGTGACCGTTGTTTTGTTTTGATCTCTCTGCTGTGCTTCCGCGTGCGTCGCGTCTGAGCGACGCATGCGCAGAGCCGACCTCATACGTCATCCTCCCGGAGCTGCTTCCGTTTACAACAGTGAGCGCAAGCTAGATTAAAGTGATTATTATGTTTTGAATATGGATATTTTTCTTACAAAAACGCATCAATTCGCTACAGAAGGCCTTTGTTCACTCCCCGGAGCCGTGTAAGAGACTTTTCTTTATGGATGGGCGATTTTTATTTAACTTCTTTTGGACGGATGCATGCAACACCCGCTGAGTGTCATGAAACAGCTTGAAAGATCAAAGACAATTTTTTATTATAACTCCGACTAGATTCGTCTGAAAGAAGAAAGTCATATACACCTAGGATGCCTCGGGAGTGAGTAAAACGCAGCCTAATTTTCATTTTTTGGGGTGAACTAACCCTTTAAGGATGTTTAGATATTTTATTGGTCAAAAAAAATGAGAAAGATGTTAATTTTTATGCATGCAAAATGTAACATTTAATGTCATGACTTCGATTTAAGACCTGTGAAAATGCTGTATTAGAGCAGAAGATTTTGCCCAGGATCACTGAATTATCATCATTTGTGTAACTGAGTTTGCTAAAATACTTCAAAGCTCCAAAACTCTTTTAGAAATGTGGAGTTTGAACCCAGCACAAATCACTCTTCAGTCTTTTTCAGCTCAAACTGAAGCGATGTAATGTAAAGCAGCTCTGTTTTGGAGTTCCCGAAAAAACCCGGAAGTGTCACCGCCAAACGTTTGTTGGGGGGAGTGAATTATTGTTTATTAAGGCAACTGAACTGTATTGACTATGATCAAAGACACTCTCATGCATAAGAGCTGGTTATAATGACAGCAAAGAATAGAAATGTTGAGGTCATTCCATTGTAACTGTGCTTTCCTTTCAGTGTTCACATGTGATTGGACTGCAGTACTTTTTCTTCTTACAGTAATCTTGGCTTGCGTCACAGCCACATGATGCAGTGGATTATTTTTAGTCTATCCTATTTCATTTATCCATGAATGTAGTTGTTAATGGTAATGGCAACAAGGTAATTGTATTTTCAACACATTATAGACCATAAATAGGATGCATGTTTGAAGGGTTTAGTGAATAGTGTGCTTACATACTGTAATAGTGTTGTAAACCAGACGTAACAAGCAAAATCGTATTCGAATTAGATTAGAAGACCACCTAACCTAAGTCTAAAAGTATCATTTCTGAACAGATAATGGTTTAAAATTGGACATTCTTTGGATTTAGTCTTATCTGTAAACATCCCTACTTGTTGCTTCCTATTTTTTTAAATAACTAGCCAGTTCTTCTGACCTAATGTCAGGGTTATTATAGCTAACTAAAACTAAAACAATAAATAAATAATAAAATAAAATAAAATAAACATTAACTTTAAATAAAATATAATAAAAACTATCATTTCAGATAGTTGCCAAGGCAACATTTCTAATTAAAATATAATAATAATAATATAAAAAAATAAAAATGAAATAATAAACACTAAAACTAATACATAAAAATAAAAAAATTTAAACTATAGACATTTTTTTAAATGACAGAAATGCAGCAAAATCACTAACATTTTAACTAAAATTAATGTGAAAACAGAAAATATAAAAAATAAAATCTAATTCACAAATATTAACAAAAAATATAAATAGTATATCAGTGAATCTCAAATAACACTGACTCATGTAAATTTGAAAAACGTAGCTAAACGTAATTTAGTAATTTTACCTGACATTCTACATGGCCTGTAAACATTCTTAGACTGGTTAAAACTGCTTGAAATAGGGCTTATACTTTCTGTATCGGCCTCTTTTTTTTCATAATGCTTTTTAATAAGAGAGATTGCTAAGAGACGTGATATTAACGCATTCCCACAACAATTAAGATAAATATTTGGAGTTTCTACAGTTGTTCTTAAACTAGAACTTAAAATCACAATGTTCCTGTGGCCAGATTAGTGAACGTGACATATTTGTGCAGTTCTTTTACACTTCAGTGCTAATCTATAGTCGTTTGTGTGGGTCACAGTGAACAGAAGAGCTCCAGACATCTTGAAAGCATATCATGTGTGAACCAGACAAGAGCAAGGTCGGTATAGCCCAAGATGTGCAGATAGTGGAGGGGAATGGAGTTGCAAAATGGGCCGAGTACAACTTAAGGGCATGCAGAATGCTTTGAGAGCCTAATCGCTGGAGATGGGATTATCGTTGAGCAGAGTATGCCAGCGCTCGATCTTCTTGTCTTTGTTCTTGAGGCATTCGTACCAGTGCTTCAAACGCTCACCTTTGGCAGTGATACCCAGCTGACAGCCTCCTGATCGTGAAATATTAGTTGTATTAAAACATTTAATGTGTATTAACAATACACATTTAATATTTTACTCAAACATTTATTCTGAATAGAGGAATGAAAAATGAAAATCAGTGACAATCTAGACCATATTTCCACCTAGTATCAACATCTTTAATCGTATAACAAGTGGACATTGCAAAACGAGTCAACATCTGCAGAGGGGTAATAATGGAACAAGAGTTTTAAAAAGTGATTTTTCACTATTGTTTACAGCAAGATCTACGTTTGCATGGGTTTAAATAAAATCGTTTTGTTCTAAGAGACAATAAAAACAACTTTGGGCATCAAAACTCATTTCCTGGTTAAAAAAAAAAGTCAACAAATTTACGACAGCTGAATGTAGCATTTTGTCTGTCAAAAAATAACATGCACAAAGCACGGTACTAGTATTTACGAGAAGCATGCATTTGTCCCTTTTCTGGAAAACGTACACTACCGGATGTTTTGACTACATTATTGCTTTCCGAGAATAAAGAAAAAATGGCGGCCTGAGCGCCTTCAACATGCTGTCTGGCTGTCAAAATGACTGAAAAACTCAATTCGAATTTTTTACTTAAATATTATCCATATTCGAATTTAAAAAGCATAATTTCAGTTGGGGGGGAAAAAGCTGTTGGCTTCTCTCCTGAGGCCACAAGAGGGCGCATCGAGCAAAATATGATGCACGTTTCTTCAAAGCATAATAAAATAACACGACTATCTTTGCATAATGTTTTAAACAATGCTTATAAACCATATATAATTAATAAAGTTGCTTAAACAATTACATGTATAGTTTAATACAAAGGACCGAAAACCAATCACAAAGAGTAACTTTTTTCATTTAAAAACATGAGACGCAGTGGGATGGGGAAAACCGCCATAAAGTCTTGAAACATGTTTTTTAAAAGTTGAACTTATTAATTTACATAGCTTTCTAAACATGCGGCTCTCTGCGAGACACAAGTGCAACGGTGATAGATGTCCCTCTAGAAAATGCGATAAATATGCGATCTGTGTGAACGGCTTGGTTTCGGTTTTGACGTAAACAACATCTTCCCCGCATTGATTGTTCTCTTTTTCTGCAATATTTTGAATGAACAACGTAGCAGCGCCGCATCTAGTGGCTTCAACTGGATAGGCTAACAAAAACATTAAAATGCAATGACACTTACATCGTCGTCGCATTTCGTGTGCCACTGATAAGGCTGCCTGACGCACACCTAAAATTCGAATGCAACGTTTTTGCATTCGAATGTGGATTTTTATTTTAAATTCGACGAATATTCGAAATGTAAAAAATTTTTGACAGCGCTACTGTCTGTCAGAGACCGTAACGTACCTAATACATCACGCACATGAGAATAAATTTGTTGTTCACTCGCTGAAAATTACTTTTTATCAAATGTAGATTACTATCTTATCAGTTGTTTAAAAGTTTGATCAAATTTTATTTAATTTTCCAAGAAAAGATGAGCCATTTTTACACGATTTGTTTCATTTAATTAACCCCTAGCAGATTTTGACTAGAAATAAAGTGACTATAGAGAGCTGCTGGGATGAAGTATTTTTGTAGGGAAAAACCCAGAGCGAGCATTTTCAACGCTATCTCACGACCAATTCGTACGTATTTTACGAGGTGGCTAATTCGTATGACCTCACTCGTACAATTTTGTATGATTTGTCTAGACCCCAGTGACGGAAAAATTTTTTGACAGCGCTACTGTCTGTCAGAGACCGTAACGTACCTAATACATCACGCACATGAGAATAAATTTGTTGTTCACTCGCTGAAAATGACTTTTTATCAAATGTAGATTACTATCTTATCAGTTGTTTAAAAGTTTGATCAAATTTTATTTAATTTTCCAAGAAAAGATGAGCCATTTTTACACGATTTGTTTCATTTAATTAACCCCTAGCAGATTTTGACTAGAAATAAAGTGACTATAGAGAGCTGCTGGGATGAAGTATTTTTGTAGGGAAAAACCCAGAGCGAGCATTTTCAACGCTATCTCACGACCAATTCGTACGTATTTTACAAGGTGGCTAATTCGTACAATTTTGTACGATTTGTCTAGACCCCAGTGACGGGTAGGTTTAGGGGCAGGGTTAAGTGTAGGTCAAATTCATACGAATTGTGCAACTCGTAAAATACGTACGATTTAGCACAAATCGAGTGAGGTCGAACGAATTAGCCACCTCTTAAAATATGTACGAATTGCCGTGAGATCAGGCTGGCATTTTAGCACTTCTGTTTCCATCGTCCTGAAGTCAACGTTTTTTTGAATGGGTTTTTGGTTAAATGCCTGAAATAAGGTCTGTTTAACACAAGCTCAGGATATTTGCACGTTCTATTCTACAACATAAAATGTGTCCGTAAACCCCCTCGTGATTTCTTTTAAAGCTTTTATGTGTGTTAAAAAAGGACTGTCTAAATGGGACTACAGAAGTTGTCGTGGGACATTAAACATGATCACACCGAACAAGTAAACTCATCTACTCACTAGTCGCTTTTACAGCCTCGATGTGTTTATAATCACACTCTTGCAAACTATTCTAACTCAAACATTCAGGGGAAATGGACTGAAAGAGTTGTTGGAAGCTTAATGGTGGTGAAGCTGAAGTCATGCGACCGCGGCATCAACATTGTGTTCATTTGTGAAGATTATCGGGATAAACAAAACACAAATCATACACTTCTGTGGGTCACAGAGCTTATTTTATGCAATATTTGAAAAAGCCAGTGGGAAAATGCTATTGAGTTTTTATCAAAGGAATCAGGGTGATGCGAACTGTATCTGGCCTGCAAAAATACGTCATCACTGCAGCACTCTATATTGCATTTGTAGTGTAAAAGCTGCAAAAAATTACATATTAGGAAAAGTTGCACAAGACATCTCAATACCAGATGTAAACAGCAGTCTGTCTCACCTGATCAATTGTGACCCTGGACCACAAAACCAGTCATAAGTGTCAATTTTTCAAAATTGAGATTTATACATCATCTGAAAGCTGAATAAATAGCTTTCCATTGATGTATGGTTTGTTAGGATCGGACAATATTTAGCAGAGATGCAACTATTTGAAAATCTGGAATCTGAGGGTGCAAAAAAAAAATCTAAATATTGAGAAAATCGCCTTTAAA